TTATTCATTTGGCTCTCAACGACACTATCAAGTAGTGTTTGCAGATCTTCTTGACTAGAAGCTAGGAGTACTGTATCGTCCACTATTGAGTAATGTAATGCCATCTAGTAATTATCCCGTTGTAAATAATAGTGAATAAATACGTAAAATGGCAGTTTAATATATTTTTCAACCTCTCCCAAGTTAAGATGTAGTTCAACAAGTAACATCGCCAGGCGGCTATGTATCCAGTTATGCATCCAGATAACAATCTCTATTTCTTTTATTATTTGGAGATCCAGATCAGTTGAACTACGAAACTCCAAATGGAACCCACCGGGACAACAAGAGAACCCATACGGACAACGATGGAGATCACAGACCCTCATCCTTAAGCCCACTGGCAGAACAAAGACACGAGTGTTGGTCCTGTTTGGTGTTTTATGTGTTCAGTGGCAATCTGCCTTTCATCTTCAAATGTTCCTTCCACATATTTCATCCAAGTATTTAGTCTCTCTTCCATACTTAGTACTAGATTATCTTCATCCTAACCAAACATCCAACTCTTCTAGGCGTGTATAAACTTGCAGCTTATTTAACTTTTTTGTGCATATTAAATAAATCGTGTTTCTGTTGTAATAGCTGAATTTCTGCCTTAGAAAAAAGAAACCCATTAATGGTTTCTTTAATCTAAGATTTCCGCACATTATATTTCTGCATACCAACCGATATGCTTTGTTGACGTGGACACATAACACCAGCTAAGACCGGTATATTTGAATCGACTCTGCGTATAATTACCCGCTGCATAAAATTCCACCTCCCCCCTAGCCCTTGAGTAAAAGTAATATTTCGTCATGTTTTTGTAAGCAAATCATATAAATAATGTTCATGTGATTAATAATAATTAAAAAAAAATACATAGATTAAGGTGACCAATATCTCATTTATATCAGCAAAGAAAAACATGATTTTAGCTGGAAAGTTTGTTAATTACAGATATATATTTTATTTCCTGGTATTAATTACGGATTACATCAACTTTTACTGGTGTTGATAACAGATAAGTTAATTTTTGTTAATGTACTTCTGACTCTTATCAGAAGATTGTGTAAAACATTATATTCAGAACCATTGTCGGTTTCTATAAAAAAGAGACAAATTAATTCCATATTAAGGAATAAAGACTGGAAGAAAACACTTACTAACTAGGGAAGTAAGCAAAATTTAATCGACCAAGCGGCCATAAGGCTTTTATACGCCATAAGGTGGACTATGGGTTAGTGTAGGAATGCCGAAAGGAACTCGAAAAAACTGTCGGAATATAACAGTGTCACGCTGGTATGGGTGATAGGTTACCGGGGAATATACGGCAATAAAATAACAGATGTAATTATCAAAAGAGCATCAAGTAGAAAACACTTCGCTACAGAGCCAGCCGTGAGAGCACCAAAAAGCATCATCCTTCACATCCAATGTATATTGGATGAACATGTGATAATAGACCAAAAACTCTGGAAAACCAGCAGTAGTTTATAAAAGTCTTATTTACCAGACATGCGCCAGTCAAAGGACACCTGCATAAAATGGGACCATTCCAAGAAGACCTAAGCTGCAGACCCAGTAGTAGAGCAACAATATTTTAAATGACTGCGAGGCATTAGATGGCAGTAAGCACTTATTGGACACTAACAAATGACTTCAACAGCCTTTGGTACCCACCAAGTAGATCTGTATAAACTAGGTACCGTTCCCGTCATAAAAAACTGGTACAACTCTTATAACCGAAAATCGTGTTTTTCAAGTTGTGTAAGTTGAGCTTGTCACATGTGTCATTCTAATTTCGATGGCAATGTTGCCAGTTCAACAAAAATATTATATAAAACCAGCTAAAAGCAGGGCTGCGTGACAGGTCACAAGTTTTTAGTATACTAAAAACTAAAACAATATCGAGCATTCTCGATCAGTCAGTCACATTTATATTTATACATTTATTTAAACATACATCTTAAAAAATTCTATTAATTTTGAAATTTTCCATTATCTATTATATTTCTGCATACCCATGCATCGATTCGTGTTTTATTATAATGTATAAAAATATTTCAATTCAAAAATAATAAATAATAAATCTAAACATGACTTTAAATTTTTGTTTAATTTCAAATCGACAGGTGCTGTATTGAGGTGTGGACTACCACAGTAAATAAAACCCACTGGAAAAAATTTAAATTTAATTTGAAATTAATAAAAAATGAATAAATAGTTTTCGTTAAACCTATGTCGAGGCGGTCTATAAACTCTAATATGGCCATCATAATGAAACTGAAATACTTTTTCATCAATAAAAATTACACGGTCCCAAAAATTGACTGGATCATTTAAAACGTAATTTAAAGCAAATAGGAATCTACTTTGTTTATGTTCCTCGCTAAATTTGTATTTTCGGCCGGCTGCACAATTTTTAAATCTGTTCTTCCAATTCTCCTTAATGCTGTAGTTATAGAAGCATTAAAGTTTGTATTAACTTTTGCTTGCCTTGCCGTATGGAAGGGATACGCTCTTAAATAATTAGTTAATGTTTCATCTTGTAGGGCTGTAGTAATAACTGGTCTCACACTCCCTCTCCTTCTATCCAAAGTCTGCTCGTTTTCCCATCTTTTTTTAATGTTGTGGATTGTGGTTTTGCTTCTATTTAACTCTTGAGCCAGTTGTCGAATAGACCACCTATCTTCTATTTTTGAAATTATTCTCGTTTTATCAAACTGACTTAACTGACGTGGCATCTTTAAAAATTCACTTTGACACACTTGTCAAATCTGACTGATGGCAAGCAATATTTTTTATGTTTAATTTTTATGTTTAATTGTTCAGATATGTTTGAGAAATTTTCAAGCACTGATAACATCTATAGATACTAAACCAACATTTTTTAGTTATAAGAGGATATTTTACAGTTATAAGAGGATAATTTTATACTATCACGTTTTGAAAAGCGTTTTTCGCCCCGGATATTTTTATAGTTTTTAATCTACGTAGGATAAAGTATAATGTTATTTTCTCACATTTTTATCGTTCTTGTAATAAATAATAAATTATTAACACTTATATTAAACTTATTGACATAACATAGAGTTAACAGTTTGTGTTCTGTAAGTAATTGAAGTATAAAATCACAGTAAATGCATTCTAATGTTCCTTGTGCCAATACGTCAAGTTTAAACATCGTTCAACATTTTGGATATTAACTTAATCCTCTTTCTGGTTATTAAATTTATTACATAGGGTTTTTGTTGTTAATAATAAAAATAATAGCTATCTAAAAACTTTATACAGTTTTGAACGTTATTTTTTATGTTTTACAATTTATTTAAATTTACTGAAATTCCGTTATCTGTGATGGCAACAACGAATTGATTTACGAAATATTGTGTCCAGTCTGAACACAGGTTTACATTGGGAAAAAAGTGTACCAGTTTTATATGACGGGAAGTGTACAAGGTTTTAGAATCTTGGAATGGATGCCATGAGTAAATGGCACAGGTAGAAAAAGCCAGCTGAATGATCACCAATTTGATTGTAAAGTCAATGATGATAATGATAAAGTCAACAAACTAATAATTGTCGGTGTGTAAGATTCTTCTAGAATCGTAAAATACGAATCACAGAAAAATTCTTATATTCGTAATTACTACGCTGTATTCTGTTAAGATATATAAGTCGGAAGAAATCTAGTAAGAAGATATTAGTCGATTATAAGGATATAAAGGTGCAGTTTTCTAAAAGACTCAATAGGGAGTTTCAATGAAAATCGAACGTAGCCGATCTCGATTCAGATTCAGTGCGAATAATGTCATGGTAGGTATTAAGAGTAAATACAAATTAAATTAAAGAAATTAACAAAGCCAACTAAGCCTATGAAGAACACTTAAATATGTGCACACATATCAGAGCAGATATCTCAAACGAAAGAATAATATCAGATAATTAGTTGAAGTCACCGTTTATAATATAACCAAAGCGAAGCCGGCTCATTAAATGCAGCGATTTTAGACTAATCAATTTGATGAGCCACATGCTTAAGTTACTTTTATGACTTATACAAACCCGACTTATTCTGTGCCAAAGTAGAATGGGTAATAAACAGTTTGGATTTAGAAATAGTCTAGGAACTAAAGAAACTTTATGTTTGTTTCATCGACTACAAGAAGGCATTCAACCGAGAACAACACGATACGCTTTTCGATTATCTACGGACAGCAAGACTTGACGACTACGTTATAACCTTCGAAAATATTTATATTAAATTCAAGTAGCCTCTATATAAATTAGATAGTCATACTGAAAAACTAACCAACCAAACTTGGAGTACGGCAGAGTTGTCTTTTGTCACCCCGTCTTTTTAAAATATACTCTAAAGAAATTTTTAGGAAGGCTTTGGATGACAAACAAGAGGGACAAACAGAAAATTTATAAGATCTTCAAATATTAGTAAATCTATTCAATAAAGGAAGTTGTCAGAGAAGCTTTAAAATTATTATTTTAAGGACAAAGTAAATGGACAGCTTGGGAGAGTTTGATTCTCGGCACCAACAACGACATTTTCATTTTTAAAAATGATGCAAGCCGCCACACTGCCTCGGAGGGTATGTCAAGCTATATGTCCCCGGGGGCTAGTGTGCTATAGTTACCTGACCCAAGGTTAAAGGTGCAATTGGATATCGGAAAAATCCGAAGGAATCTCCGCAATAAAAATATCATACTATGTTATTATAAATAATAATAATAGTCTCCCGTTTTATACCGCACGCGGCTTTGGGAGTATAGCAGGGTAGTCTGCTATATCTAGGGCCTACGGTATACAGGTTATTATAAATAAATTATTGTTATTATAAATAAATATTATTATAAATAAGGACAGTGTTAAGGTTTAAAACAGATATTTATATAAAAGAAATGGGTTAATAAAAACTAATAAATTATTCCAACATATAATGATCAACAACATTTAAATAACTTACCAATTAAAGATCCTGAAAATACCAACGTCCCCAATTTAGCTCTTTCTGATAACGGTACCCATTTTGACAGAAGTGAATTAATTGCCGGATGGCTTGGCCCCTATAAATGGTATTACTTTTGGTAAAATGAAAATTTTTTTGGCCTAATCTCATACTACATTAAAATAAAAGTAATACACAAACTCCTAAAAATTGACGCAGAAAACAAAATGAAATTGCTACTTTTTTCTTTATTGAAGAACTTCGTATATAAATCCATACACATTAGTTCATTTAAAAGTAAATAGTTAGGAATTACGGAATAACGCGTTTAGTTTTTTTTTATAAAAAAAGTCATTTTCCGCAAATCGCCAGGAAATTTTGACATTCCTGTCAAAATTTCTTGAAGAAAAAGTCAGGACTTCCTTACTGTAAGGAAATGTCATTTCCTTACTGTAAAGAAATGATATTTCCGTACAGTTGTTAGTGTTCTAGATAAATGATAGAAGTTTGACAATTCAACCTCAATACGTTTCCATAGTAACCCAAGTAATTTTATTAGGGATTTCAAAACACCATTTATTTAGGAATAAAATTATCGCGTTTTTTTTAAATCAATCAATATCTGTCGAATTTTAAACGATTTGCGGAAAAATAGTATGTTTACCTCGTAGGAAAAGCCACATTCCTGGACTCTGTGTTGCTAAGTCTCGGCTTGCGCCTCGACTTAGCAATCTTCACAGTCGTCCAGGAATGTTAAGCTTTTCCTACCCCGTAAACAATGTACTATTTTTTAATAAAAGTTGCAAAGAACAGAAGCGTTGAACAAAGTGAATTACAAAAATTGTGTAAATGAACAGTATAATTTCTAACATGGGGGAGAAGCAGGAGCAAAAGAAAAATGTTCGGTGAAATATTGGATGACTTAAAAATATTGTAAATCATGAAACAAAGAAGAAAATACAGAAACATTAACTCCAGATAAATACAGAGAATATTTTTCTGAAGCTATTTTCTTGTGGCATTTTAAATTAATTACTATTTAACTGGGAATAAGCCACAATTAAAGATAAAAAAATACGTTTATTGACGTTTCAATTTCCACTTCGGAAATCGTTCTCAAAATAGAAACAGTAAATTAAACAAATTTTGTCAATATAAATGAGTCAGATAAAATTAAATTATTAGAAGAATTTTTCACTATGTAACAAAAAAACAAAATTTGTTTAATTTACTGTTTGTATTTTGAGAACGATTTCCGAAGTGGAAATTGAAACGTCAATAAACGTATTTTTTTTATCTTTAATTGTGGCTTATTCCCAGTTAAATAGTAATTAAATACAGAGAAAACATAAACTAATATAAAACAAAATGAAAGAAGACAAGGAAAGGTGAATGTCCAATTTATATAAAAAAGTCAGAGAATTATATGGAAAATCACAAACAAAAACACATAATCGGGTAATTGACAAAGACAATAAACCTATTAATAACCCAATTGAAATAAAACAAGTATGGACTAAATATATTTAAGATCTTTTCATGGACATAAGAAAGGAACCAACACAACTTGATGGAAGCGAGGAAGCTCCAATGATATTAAAATCTGAAGTTCAACAAGCTATAAACAACTCAAAATCTAGCAGAGCCCCTAGACTAGATAAAGTTTACATCAAGGTAATTAACCTTATAGATGAAGACAATTTAAGTGCAATAACTATCCCCTTTAACACCATATACAAATCTCGTGAGATACTATATAGAATGGCTAATATCATCTACCTTGGTTCCGCTACCAAAAACCAAGAATCCCAAACACTGTAATGACTATATATTAATCAGCTTAATGTCACAACTATTGAACACATTTTTAAAGATGATCCATGCAAGAATATTCAGAAAGTGTAAAGCTGATATGAGTAATAGACAGTTTGGCTTTCGTACTGGCTTCGGAACAGTGGGAGGTTTATGTAGTTTCACAACTCTTGTTCAATAATGTCGAAACAAATAAAAAAATCTCTTCGTCGCATTTATATACTATGGAAAAGCTTTCGACAAAGGTAAATATAACATTCTCATGGAATGACTAAAGCGAAAAGGACTTGATAACAAACAGGACAAAAATGATATGACATAACGAGAAATCTCTATTGGAACCTACAAGCTGTGGTAACATAAGATGGAAATAACACGGATGCGCAACTGATAAGTAGAGGTGTGGGACAAGGCTAGGTACTTTTACAGTTATTATTTAATTTATACTCCAAAGAATTATTTACACAAGCACTTAAAAACTGTACAGAACGGATCAAGATAAATGGTGAAAATATAAATAACATTTGTTATGCCGACGATATAGTTATTATTGCTGAAAGTGAGAAATAACTGTAGACGCTACTAAACACAATTTGTGGTACTGGGGAACAGTTTGTTTAACAATAAACATAAAGAAAACAAGAATCATGGTTATCAGTAGGAGGGTTAAAGTCATAACAAAGATCTAAATAAAAAATGAAGATATTGGACAAGTGGACAAAATGGAGTATTTAATAATCTGGATTACTAAAGACTTAAATCTAAAATCAGAAATTCGATCAAGCTTAGAGCAATCAAGAGCAGCCTTTTTAAATGTGAGGAAACTTCTGAGTAATTACTATTTAAATGACAATAAGCCACAATTAAAGGTTAAAGTACGTTTATTGGCGTTTCAATTGTCACTTCGGAAATCGTTCTCATAATAGTAATTTTGAGAACAATTTCGGATGCATTCGACATGCCGTACATCATGGTCAAAATTCGTAGTTTAATGTAATTTTGTTTAATTTTTTGGACAAGATTATAATGATCTGTAAATATGTGCAATCAAATTGAAAATATTTTGAACTCACCTGTGAAAATCCAATTAAAAATCTCAAAGCTGTCACAACTCTCCAGTCACCGTTGGATGTAACAGTCAACCAAGGGGTGATAAACGTGATTACTGAAGCTATTAGAATTCCAATTAAAAGAGTATGCTTTCCTCCAAATCGTTCTGCTAGCATTCCTCCAGGTATATGGGTAAATATATAACCCCAAAAGTATGCGCTGAGAATGATCCCTTTGGTACTTTCGTTCCAATCGTATGTTTCTTTTTTGTGCTGTAAATAATAAATGGTATATATATTACAATATTTGTACCATTATAGTACATGTTTATTGACAGAGGAGGATTTGGTATAAAGATTTCACGACCAAATGTTAGGGATAGGATCTAGTCTAAAAATGGAACAAAATAATAGTTCTAATACTTACTTCTAACTGACCCAAAAGGGTATTGTTAACTTTTATTGTGGCACATGTATTAGGATCACCACGAGTATGTAATGCTGGTACCATCTGTGTTATCGCAATATTCAGTACCACCATGAGGGTGTAATTTGTAAATGTGGCAAAGAACCCCATAAGTCCTAAAACGTACCGCTGGGGTATAAGGTTTGCTAAAAATAAACAAAACAAAAAAGTAATACAGAAATTAGTTGATAATAATGAATAAATAATTGCTTTTGTTAGTTATTGTGCTATATTTATATTTTCTTAATTCAGTCTTATATATTTTTTACAGGTATATCTTTACTAGAGGCACCTAGCAAATCTGAGGTTCAAAAGGTATCAACAAATAAGTAGACTCTTCTCTTTGAAGTGGATAATTAAAATTATTTAAAATACTCGTACAATAAGATAGGGCAAGAATTTTCTAAAATTATATTGTATAGCTAAAGGCGAATCAAAAGATATAAAATTTTAAAAATAAAATGTAACACTGTGTCATACGCAAAAGGGTTAAACGATAAAAATCCTGCCGTCAAACATGTTCGTGGTTTGGGTGAAGGTTGGCGTGAAAGTTACCTTGGGTATTGGCGCGAACATGCTTGGCATTTTTTAAAATTTCTATGGCTTCTCAGATAATTCTTGGTTTATAGAAGCGGATCGGTGTTATGGTTTTGGAGTTTTCAAAATCAATTTCATGATCTGCATAAAGATAGGAAGGAATTTCATAAACTTCGTGTTGTTCATTTAAAATGTTGTCTTGAATGGATCGGACAAGGAATGAAGGTTTTTGATGGTACAGATCTTGTGGTGCCGCTAGTTGTGTGCTGTTCGTGACCTTCATTTATTTTGTTTTGGATGTGTTGTCATGCAGTCCCATTGTCATCGCGGCATTTTCGAATGTTTTAAAAGCTTGTATCAGGTCTCTTTTTGTCCGTGTTACTATGTCAATGTCATCTGCGTAGGCGAATATCTGTATACCTCTATTGATGATCGTACCTCTGGTTGTTATGCCCGATTTCTCTATGGCGCTTTCTAGCGCGATGTTAAACAATAGGCACGATAGACTGTCTCCCTGGCGTAATCCAATATGTGTTTAAAAAGACCTTGGCACTCTGTTTTGTATTTTGAGTTTTGAGATCTTGAGATCTTTACCAATGTTATTATGTTAATTTTAAAATCTATGAAGAGGTAGTGGGTATCAATTCCATATTCATATGTCTTTTCTAAGGTTTGTCTGAGAAGGAAAATCTGATCAATTGTTGACCTTTCTTATCGGAATCCACATTGGTATTTGCCTATTTTTTCCTCAGTATGTACTAGTAAACGATCATAAAGTATATAAGCCAGTACTTTGTAAGCCGCATTTAAAAGGGGAAATGCCTTGATAGTTGTCACATATTAGTGGATCCCCTTTCTTGTGAATAGGGCTTATAATACCTACATTCCAACTGTATGGGAGTTTTCCTTCTCTCCAAATGAATGCAACAAGTTTTATTATGTATTTTTTACCGTGTTTGCTCCATACTTGAACAGCTCAGGGGGTATACCCTCTTCTCCAGGGGACTTGTTGATTTTTAACCTTTTTATTGCCTTGGCATCTTATTCTTCTGTTAGTATATTCTTTTTCTTCCTTTCATCGTCTACGACTCCACTGTAGTCATTTATGACAGTCACTTCTCGGTTGCCTATATTTAATTTCTTAGCAAAATTCTCCGCCCATCTCTCCACTATTTGATCCGGCTCATTGATAATTTCGGCTTCCTTACTTTTATTATGGATATTCTAGGTTTAGCTTCTTTTCTGTTGCGGTTCACATTTTTATAAAATTTTCGCGCTTCGCTTTGTTAATTAAGCCTTTCTAGTTCTTGTAGATGGTTTTCTAAATGTCGTTTTTCCTTTTGTTTTAATATATTTTTTCTGCTTGTCTCATCTGTTTGTACTCCTCTTAATTTTGTCCTATCCTTCTGTTTTTAAGTTTCCCATACGCCTTATTCTTTTTTTTGAGTTTTCTATGCGCATTTCGCATCATACCATTCTGTCCCCTACCTTTCTTGTTTCTTCTTTCCCAAAAGTGTTGTTGCTACTTCTTTCAGGATATTTTCGCACTCATTCCAGTAATTATCTATGTTTTCAGCAGTACTACTCATTTGGTCTTCTAGGTTTTCTTTAAGTTTGTGTTCAAATTTTCTAACTATCTCAGACCATTTAAACCTAAACATACGATCAAAAGAAATAGTTCCGAACTACTTGTACGGTAGTAAACTAGTGAAAGACTAACTGAAAGAAAGAAATAGTTCCGAAATACTTATACGGTAGTGAACTAGTGAAAAACTGACTGAAAACCGAAGTAAACGGGCGGCCAGCGCCGGGCTTGTGTGATAATTGAGACGAGACATCTGGCAACCAGTTCTGTTCTGTTCAACAACTAGTTCATTTTTGTGAAATAGTTCTGTTGAACTAGTTCGTCTAAAAGAACTAATAAGCACACCTCTATAGGTAGTGATCGGAGTCAATGTTTGCTCCACGTCTGGTACGTACATTCATAACGTCTCTGTAATGTATTGTGCCCACAACAACATGGTCAATTTGATTGATTGTGTTACCGTCTGGGCTAACCCAACTGCCTTTGTGTATATTTTTACGCTCAAAGCATGTGCTGGCTATCACCATATTCATTGAGACCGCAAGTCGTTTTCTTTTCATATTTTGGAATATATTATTTCTTCTAGGTTTTCATAAAATTCCTCATTTTCTTCGTCTAGCTTATCTTTTGTGGGTACATGGGCATTAACTACTGAATTTTTGAAAAAATTTCCCCTAATTCTTATTTTTCATCTTCTGTCGCTTATGGTTTCGAAGTCTATTACTAGGTGCTTCACTCTGCTGCTGACTATGAATCCTATTTTAAGTTTATGCTCTGTTGGGTGAAAGATCTAGTACATTGTATATTTCTTTTTCTCGACTATTTTTTTCCCAACCACCTAACTTCTTAAAACGCTATTATGTTTATTCTATATTTATCCAGAATGTCAAGGAGTGTGAAGCAGTTCTAATAAAAATTATTTGTTTTAAAAAGATATTTAAGGAAAGGATGGCCTTTCTTTCTAAACAACAAGGGAATTTTTTTAAACGGCGTCCCATTTTAAATAGTTTAGGAATATTTTTAAATAGTTTTGCCCAGGACAATTCTGTAAGTATTTTTTTGATTTCTTTTTTGTAGTTAGTCCTCCCAGTCCTCCTTAAATAAAGGAATCTTTATTCACGTCTCAGCTCTCAAACCAAAACACGAGTAGCCATTCGCAAACGTTTCAATTTATTTGCTTACCCTATCTCCAAGCCCACTAATTGTTCAGTCCATCTTTCAGTTCTTTGAGTTATTTGAATGTATTTTTTGTTTAAAAAAAAATTCAATTTTAAAAGTAATTCTAAGTGTTTATTAGTTCAAAAATTCATTAATTATTAACGAGTGTCCGTAGGCACTCCTTATTAACGAAATAAAATTTTTGAAAATGGATTTGGTAGTTTGAATAGTCCTAAATTATAATTTTGAATATTACCTTTTTTAAAAAAGTTAGATTTATTGATTTTATTGAAATTTTGTGTAATAATTAAATATATTAAAAAGATTTCTTTCTCGAAGTATGAAGACCTATGTATAATAGTTATATAATAAATAAAATCACAAAAAAGAGCTTTTTTAACAATTTTTTTTGTGTAATTTAGTACTATTTTATTTAAACTTACTTAATAATAATAATTAAGATCTTTAACTATATTGGCCAAACTTTTATTACTGTTGAAAATTGTTTTAAAATCAACAGTTGTTAAGATAAATTAGATAAAACGAGTAAAAATACTGAATTTTAAAAAAATTTTAAATTTATTCGTGAATAAAATTTAAGCACTTTTGAGAATTAACGTTAATGATACTAACAAGGGATTTATGCAAAAAAACTACGTTTATATACTTCCAACCAAAAGTGGTCATTTTAAAGAAGATATCGCCTGATCTATAGTGGAAACACCCGTTATTATTCTTTCAAATCAATTTTCTAAAGCCTAAAGGGTATTTTAGCATGTGGAGCAGAAGGTTGTAGATACATTATTGCTTGCTGTGAGCCTGAAATATTGTATCACTAAGCTGCACTAAATTGTTTTTCCCTTTTTAAGACATCTACGATGCATTTTTTTAAATACCAAATATTTACGAATTAAAAATAAAATTTTTCAATTTAATTGTATTCTTGTGTTTTTAATTTAATTTGCAAAATTTGTTTGGTTATAAATACTTACATACAGAAATTTTCATCTTCAATTTATTATTATCTAGCTAATACTTATAATAGAGGTAATTCTCACTTGTTCACATAAAATGCTCGCAAAATTGAAAGTTTCGTTTTTTATTGAAAAATCAATATAATTACCATACGTAATCTGGAAACTGATTTGATTATCTATATTTATTTCATTAAAGGTGACAATATTTGCGCTGTCTGCTACGATTCTTTTGTATAATCTCAATTATACATAGATGACCTACTTAAATGTTCAATAACACTATTTTAAAATCTACAGTTTTAATTGATAATGACAACATATTTCGAAATATAAGATTACTATGAATCTTAGAATTTCATTAATAAATCTTACAGCATTTTTAAAAATTGTTAGAATACTTTAAAAGTTAACATAAAAATTAAACAGAATTAAATAAAATTAAATAGAATTAAAGAAAATTACATAAACTTACATAAAATAAAAATAAAATTGATTGATTAATTGATATCATCATATTATGCGAAATGAATCCAGATATGCTCTCCTTCAAGCTATCCTGTAAGGAAAAATATTTGGAAAGCGAGGTCCAGGAAGAAGAAGAACATCTTGGTTAAAGAACCTCAGAATCTGGTTCAATACAAAATCTGTGCAGCTTTTCCGCGCTGCTGCAGATAAGATAAAGATCGCCATGATGATCGCCAACATTCGTAACGGATAGGCACATCTAGAAGAAGAAGATATCATCATCGTCAATTAGCCTATATTTGTCCACTGCTGAACGTAGGCCTTCCGTAAAATTTTCCACCTATTTCTATTTTGAGCTTCTTGCATCCAGTTTGTGGTGATGCGCTTGATATCATCCGTATATCTAGTCGGTGGTCGTCCTTTGCTTCGATATGCGTCTTGCCTTGGTCGCCATTCCAGAATCTTTCTAGTCCATCTATCATCCGTTAATCTGACAACATGTCCGGCCCAAGCCCATTTAGTCATGGCTATTTTTTCAGCTGCATCTGTGACTCCTGTTCTTCTTCTTATTTCTAGGTTTGGTACTTCATCTCTAATGGTAATACCTAATATTTTTGATTGATTCATAAGATTTCACTAATTTTGAATCATTTTTGCCAAATTTCCGTTTGGTAAAAACCTCATTTTTCGTTCTATGTGTTCTAATAAAGGAAAAGTTATGTTCACGGGCCGACAAAGAGACGGACAGACAGACAGGAATAGTTCACGGATTTCACCTTTTTTTTATTGGTTTAAAATGGGTGAAAACAAAAAAGGCGATTAGGCTCTTATAGGTATATTAATTAAAGTATAACTCTCAAACATATGTTCAAGAGAAGCTAAAATCTATCCGATCGCAAAATGCTTTGGTGAGACAAAAAGTAACAGAAACACAACTGGATATTGGGAACTTAAAATAATAAGAATACCTTATGGCAAGAGAACAACAAATGGTTTTGTAAAAAAAATCACTAATGATGTATTCCATAGCTTTGACCGAGAACCCTAATATATAAGATATTTTTTGGGTGTTATATGCTATGCAGCGTGTAGGCGTTCATGCTGGTTGTAATATATGTATATCTTATATGCACTGCATGTATATAAAATATATTAGTGTGCAAAGATATCTAACTCATATTTGACAATAAGATAATAAAAGTCTATGAGCAAGAGAAATTGTCAAGTAATAGATAAAATAAACCAAGTAGGACAGGATAAATAATGCCGAAGATAGGAAAATATGAAAAGATATTGTATGATTTGGAATATGCATATAATATGTATGTATATTATAGATAATATGACTCAAAGCTCACAATATTATATCAAAAAAAAAAAAAAATAAATGATTAAATTAAAATCTTCACGTAAACCACTAAAAAACTTTTCCAAACAAAGACTATATTAAAGGGCCAATATTAAAGAGTCCATAAAGTTTGCTACTTAGATTTTTTTTTATTTTGGACTCAATGTTTTATGCATTTGCACTTTTGTATAGTAATGTTAATACAATTATTTGATTTGAAGGCCATAGTTACAACCTTTACCTAAAAATAGACAGATTGCATTTTTTAAGTACACAATTATGACAAACACTTTAAACTATAATATGGATAAATGTATAAATTAATTTGGATCGATTATGGAGAGTGTCATATATAAGATTAGATAACATTAATCATCGAATATTAATAAAGGACATCACGTTGTTGCGTGTATCATTCATTTTACAGTTTTTACTCCAGCTACTATCTTTTTGAAACAATTAAAAGATAATACCCATTTGACGATGTACACGGTTGAGTAACAAATTGGGAGGTTATAAATTAAACTAAATATATTAGAGACAAAAATAACTCGATTAAACCTAACGTAACTTGTTAAAAAGTTGCCACTAAAAAGTTACAGCTCTTGAAGTTACTGAAGTTATTAAAAATAAAAATCGATTTTTTATATCTCGTAAAATGTGCGTACAAAAATATTGCGATTGTACCTTACAGGTAACAGTGGCTGTCCAAAAGTAAATACAAACGATGCATATATTTTAGATGCACATAAAAACATCTCCGAGAGCCGTATTTGTGATAGCCAATTCCGACAGGGGGCGCTCCAGATTTCAAACATGGACGATCATTTTGGATGATCTCGAAGCTATTAAACGTTTAATATAAATCATTTACACGTGTGTTTTGCCAAAGTAAAAGTTGGAGTACGTTCTTCAAAGTTTATTTGTTTGTAATTCGAGTTTATACATAATGTAATTGACTTCTAAACCTGAATAAAATTAAAATGAAATATTTATTTTTTTACAGTATGTCTGAAATACGGAAACTAAAATTTACAATTATCTCAATTATTTATGTGGTCATACAGAAGGATCTTGAAGATACCATGGACAGACAAAGTCACCAATGAAGAAGTACTGCGGAGAAGGAACACAATTGAAGAATTGGTCAACATCGTGAAGGACCGTAAGCTGCAGAATTTGGGCTATATAATAAGATATCAAGGCAGATACGAGCTACTTCAAGACATTTTACAAGGTAGAATTAAAAGAAAAATGGCCCCAGGACGAAGAGGAATATCCTGGCTTGCTAACCTGAGAGCATGGTGTAGAAAGATCTCAACACAGCTATTTCGTATAGCAACCAACAAAGTCATCATAGCCAGAATGATCGCCAACGTTCGGAACGGACAGACACCCTAAAAAGAAGGATTTATGTGGTTGTTAGTTCAGCAGAGATCTTTAGTTGAGGGCGAGGCAGTTTTTTGGAGCTGGCCACGTTATATTTTGTAAATTACGCCTTAAGTTTTTTACTAATAACTTCATGAGACCGTTGGGGCAATTTAGCTGATGGAACAACATTGTTCTTTAGTCTTCTTAATTAATTTCAGGTGTTACTATAAAGTACATTAAGTATAAATATATTACAATATAAATAATATTTTAATCAAGACTTACTTGAAAAGTAATCGTTCTCAGTAAAATGTAAACTGCACACAATCATGTACACTTCCCGTCATATAAAAATGGTACACTTTTTTTCCCAATGTAAACCTGTGTTCAGAAATCAATTCGTTGTTGCCATTACAGATAACGGAATTGCACTAAATCTAAATAAAAAATAACGTTAAAAAATGTATAAAATTTTTAGATAGGTATTATTTTTATCATTACAAAAAAAAAACTGAATCTAAGAAATTAAATAAGCAGAGATAGGGTTGAGTTATTATCCAAAATGTTTAAAGGATTTTTAAATCTAGGGTATTGGCACAGGGAACACTGGAATGCATCTACTGTAATTTTATACTTCAATGACCTACCGAACTCGAACTGTAGAACTGTATTCTGTGTCAATAAGTTTTGTAACAGGCAAACTACCAAGATTTATTTATTATTTATTATAAGAACGGTAAAAAATGTGAAAAACTAACATTATACTTTATCCTACGTATTATATACCAGAAAATATTCGGTGCGAAAAAACGCTTTTCAAAACGTAACAGTTACAATACCATATCTCATTGTAATGTTTTATTATAATAATTTGAAGTTAGTCTAGATTGATTATCTGTCATTATTTTTGAATTAAAATATTTTCATAAATTGTTGTAAAACACACATCAATGTATGGGTACCTACTTAATTGAGATGATGGAAAATTACAAAATTAATATGAGAATTTTTAGGATGCATGTTTAAACAAATTTAATGTGACTGACTTATAGAGAATGCTCGATAATGTTTTAATTTTTTAGTATACTCAAAACTGGTGGTCTGTCACACAGCCTTGCTTTTAGCTGATTTTATATAATATTTTCGTTGAACTGGCAACGGTGCCCTAGAAATCAGAATGACACATTTGACAAAATCAACGTACACAACTTAAAAAACACGATTTTTGATTATAAGAGTTGTACTAATTTTTTATGACGGGAACGGTACTTAGTTATAGGTTTGCCAATTCGCAAAATGCATTGCCAAAATTGCCAAACTTTTCTCATATTGTCGTCCAGCGGAAACTTATGTATGAATTTTGTTTTGTGAATTATAATAGGATGAACATTGAGGAACACTGCAACAGTTTTTTAAAGTCGAAGTCATTGTTAATTACAATATAAACCGGTCGCTAATATGTATACAAATTAATTACAATTTCTAGGTTTTCCCGAAGTGGGTGCTTTTGAAATCTACCACTAGGCATCGCCACTTTGCAGTTCCTCGCGAATAATGGTATTAGCTGGTAAATTTGATGTTTCTAACATGGTGGACTAAAAAGGATTCATACTCTGGTCGTCAGAGATGAAAATGCGATGAAATGAAATGAACCTCTAAAAATTATACGAACAAGCTAAATTTTGCAAGGAATATTAATTTTGGAACCTCAAAAGAGATGCAAAAAGTTTACCAATTTTACTTCCAGTCTTTTCCCTAAAACCCCCCTCGGAGGGGGGTAAAAACGAAAAAAAATTATTTACACAGAATCTCTACACCGTAGAAAAAAATAGCTGATATAATTTTAAACAAAAATGTTTATAAGCATTTTTTGTGTAGTATGAACCGTTCTCTTAGAAACAACGCTTAAAG